CTTTCACTCTCCTTTTCAGTCTCTCACTTTCGAACCCATGCCGTGAGGCAGGTTGTCAGACGCATTTTAAGAGACACCTCAAACATGGCAATACCTGTGTATTGTGTGACACCTGTGTGACACCTCAAACGTGTTCAGATACACAAGTGTGCGAAGCCACAGGATAAAACACTGCGATGCCTCAACACGGCAACACGTGGACACGTTCTGACAACCCAAACATGTTAATGCACTCAACAGTTGCGACAAACAGGCTTTGTAACACCTCACACGTGGCAATACACCTTGTGACAACTTAATCACGACAGTCCCAGACACATAGTATAACACTGCACCATAAATACAGCTGCGTTACACATACATGGCGATATATAAGCATACATTGTGACAATTGAAACACAATGATTCACACAGACACACACTGTAACAATGTCAACATTTGATGACACGATGCTCCAATGTCCCGGCATCTGCCTTGTGCCAACTCAGAGAGATACACACCCTGTTGTTAAAAGGCAAATACATGGCCACACAAAGATAACCCATGACAATTCAAAGTTTGAGTCTTATAAAGAGACACACAAGGATCATTCAAACCTGGAGATATCCTCACAATTGGGGGACAATCAAAAGAAAGGTGTAATAATTACACGGATTGTGTAATATGTGATACATAGTCTATCAACTCAAAACCAATTATGCACGGTGATGCAGGGGCCACAGTGAGGACCTGATAACTCAAACCTGGCAACACATAGAGCCTTACCTTGCAACAATGCAAATACAATGATATACTCGTGGACGATTTAAACATAATGACTCACGCTCTGCTCGCTGAAACATGCTTGCTCACAAGAACACATGATGACAATTCAAGCATGGAAACACACACTGGGGCCATTCAGACACAGCGAGATAGATTTAGGCACACCTTATATCAACTCAGACGCCCTCATACCACCCGGATACAGTGTGATGACATCCATATTTTGGCAACTCAACATGGTAAAAATCCCAAAATATCAAGTATGCATTTACTCACATGTGTGAAATAGAGCATAGGAACACACACTCGGTGACAGTTTGAACACGCTGACTCACGGACAGGGTGAGACACATCCATGGTATACGTCACACATGAAGACAGTGTATTGGAACAAAATATTCTGGTGAGTCGATACAGAAATGAAAAACTGAAACAGTAAACATGAACGTACTCTAATTCATGGACATGCAAATAAGCCAATGACACATGAGTGACAGGGAAAAACACTTTAAGACACAATGACACATGACAGATAAGTAGAAACACTTAAGCACAAGTATACTGCCACCATCACACCCTTATTGTTAGATATGCGCTGACCCCCTGGTCCTTCCGAGCCCCACTAAACCCCTGGTCACTCTATTCAATTAATAGTACGGAGGATGCCTCGGTAGGAATAGGCCTCTAGACTCTAAGCATGAGGGTAGGGCTGAAAAAGGAATAGAGAGAATTAAGACATCATCTGTAAACCCAAGACAGAACTTACATGGGAAAGGTAAATAGCATGAACACTGATTATGGTGACTCTTGACTATAGAGTGTGTGTCCTGTGCTCTTCACTAGAGCCCTTGAGGATTCATGTTGACGTCTCGGGGAACAGATCTCTTCTCTTCTTCCACTGCCCAGGGAAGAGGGACCCATCATTGCTCTGTCCCCCTCACACAGGGCCCTGGGCCAGTCTGTGATGACCTTAGTGGTGAGTGGGGGCTGTGGAATAGGTGAGGGTCTGGGGGGAGCTGGTCCACACCTCGGACCTTGATGGAGCCTCCTGAGGTGTCCCTTTGCAGCTTGAACCAGCATTCAGAGTTTGGGGAACAGTTTCGTGGCTTGGGTGGTCTTTCCCTCTCACTTTGGCCCATCTCACTGCAGAATCACTTCTGCTAGTGTCATGATCTTCGCCCTGTTCCAGACAACATTGAAGGCAGGGCCACATAAACATCAGACAGAGCCTCACAGTAAAGAGGGACACTGTTGCAGCTAGGAGCTTCCTGGACCGCTTGGTTTGCTTTAGGAGTCGATGAAGGTGTGCCATCATCAGGGAATGCGCCTCGTACGTTCACATGTCAGTATTAGTATGTGTTGGCCACGAGCATCAGCATGTGTCGGGGTAGGTTTACCACTAGGAATCAATGTCTCTTGGGCCCAGGTGTGTCCGGGTGACATTTTAAATGTCCAGGTATTACAGGGCTCACCTGACTGTTTGTGTATCTTCGTAGCCTTTACGTGGGTTTCTGGGAGCAACTGGGTCCAAGCTTGATTGTCTTGTATGTTTACACATACTGTTTGCATGGGGTGTTTGTGGCTGTGTTATCTTGGATACAAATGCATGTGTCAACACAAGTGTATTGTCACCATGTTGAGGTTGTCATGATACGTGCCTGGGAGTAGATCGGCGGGTTTTTATTATCACGTGGTAGACGGTGCAGTTCTTTCCGCCAGGACCTCAAGACCATTAAGAACAAAAAAGGCAATCATATTGCCTAGTGCCACAACAGGTCACCTTGCCATGGGGGCTGGGGGTTGAGACATTGACCTCTGAGAGGATCAAGCTGTATCAGGGGCCTTGGTCCCATGAGTGGCCAGCACTTTTTGGTCACTCCCATTTCACAGAAGGAGACGTTGAGGACAAATGGTCAGCAAGGTCGTGCTGTGTGTGGATAGGGGAGAGGGAATACTAGAGCTGGAGAGGGGATCTCAGGGGGAAGGTGGAGGTTTTTGACCTGTCCACCCCTTTCCATCCATGACGGAGAGCACCTGGGCCACAGCTGCCTTCCTCTCCCCCAGTCCCAAGTCTCAGCCCACCCCCATCCTCCTCCCTCTCTTAGCTCCTCCCCACTTTCTCCCTTGCATGCTCTCTCTCTCTCTCTCTCCAACGGGCACATGTCAGAGAACATTATGTGCACCGAGGATTTGCATAATTCAAGAAGCATCAAATTAAATTTGCATAATTCCTTTGATTACACTTGTTATTAAATGTAAGTGACATTGATTTACAAAATGGCCCAATATAAGGTTAATAGCAAATGTCACCTTCCAACAGGGTGAGTGTGTGTGAGTGTGTGTGTGAGTGTGTGTGTGGCGGGGCAGGGGGATTGCAGGATGGACACGAGTCCTAACGTTTCTTTCCTGCCGGGCTCAGCCCCGCCCTGCCTCCTCCTCCCTATCCCTCCCCTCAGCTGCCCCAGGCCCCCAGGCTCCCCTCCCCAGGTTCTGCGTCCTGACAGGGGAACTGGCCTCTGAGTCCCTCTCTTCTTCCCCTTTCTTCCAGTGCAGGATCCAGTGAAGTTAGATTGGGGGGCAGAAGCTGAAAGTCACAGGGGAGAGGGTCAAAGTTGCGGGCTTAATGGTTAGGGTGGTTAGGGATCAGAAGCTACGAAGTGTGGAATTTGCCCCCAGAGACATTTATGTCATAGGGCCAGTCACTACATGGGTATGGGGTAGCTTCCGATCTCAGTGGGACTGGGGTTGAGGACCCAGAACAGGATGGGAAGAGGGCCTCCTCTGACAACTGAAGGGCAGAGACAGAAGTACACATGGCAGGATGCAGGTGCTCCCATCCACACACACACATCTGTGTGTGCACATCCACACCCACACCCACACGACACAGATGTACTGCCTGTGGGTACCGGTGTGGGCATACACATAGTCATGGGCATATACAGCCACATATGAACATGGAGGGACACCAGGAACCACATATGCTTATGCACTGTTACACGTTTGGCTACATAGATGACCAGTCACCAAAGCACAGGAAGGTGGAAACTCCCAAAGACATGGGAACATACCTACACCATACCTACTTTCCAGTCATGAGAAAGAGAATCATAAGGAAGAGAAGGAGAATCATAAGGAAAGGTCCTTCCAAGATCCCTGCAGAGCTTCTCTGGAGCTGTCCTCCCCCAGATCTCCTTGCTGAAGGGTCCCTTCCCTCATCCTTAATCTGCCACAGAATGGGTGTGTGTGTGTGTGTGTGTGTGTGTGTGTGTGTGAGGGGCGGGGGCAGCCTCAACATTCATCCTCTCCCTGGGTGAGAATATCGACAAGGCAGTAACTAATCATTAAACCCACTGGCCCCTTTAAACAAGAAAGGAGAATTATGGGCAGAACCGTGGGGGGCAGAGACCCCCCATGGGCCCTCTGAAGGGGGAACCGGGCCCAGGACTGAGCTCTGAACACACCCAACCATTACTGCCTCAAGCAGAAACAAACTGGAAGCTCAAACCTGGGGGTGAGATGTACTCACAAAACCACGAGAACACACAACTGAATACAGGCACCCCCTTCACACAGGGACACACAGGGACACCACGAGAACACACAACTGAATACAGGCACCCCCTTCACACAGGGGCACACGCATGCACAAGGACCTACCAATGCATGCACCTGTGGACACCACAAGTACACGCAGAATAGCACAGAACACAGACACAGGTCACCTCCGTCACAGACTCATCTGTTCCTGCAGTGTGATAATCAACATGGCCAAGAGTGAGAGTCCCAGGGTCACACAGATTTGGGTTCAAATCCTGCTCCTACCATTTCCTAGTGGAAATGGATAATAACAGTACCTACCTGTGAGGTACTCTGAGTATCAAATGAGGTAAATGCCATGCAGAGTGCCTGGCACACAGTAGGTGCTTCACTGATCTTTGTTCGCGGTCCTTGTTATTCCCAACCATAAGTATTTACTGAGCCCCTGTGTATGTGCCAGACATGAATTCAGGCCTTAGCGATGCTGTGATAAATGAGACCGAGCATAGTAGGACTCCATATGGACTAAGGGACTGAGGACAAGGCCCCGGTCCCCACCCCCCACCGAAGGGCAGGTGCCACAGAAACCTCAACCAACAAGCCGCCTCAGGGATCTGAGGGCTGGGCTGGGCTGGGCTGAGCGTTGTTTTCTCATCTGCCTGGGCCGTCCTTGTCCTCAACCCTCGCAGAAGATTCTCCTGGCAAGAAGGATTACTCTCCCTTTTCCGGGGCCATCTCTCTTCTATCTCGTATCGAGTCATCTCCCCACTTGTGAACCCTGACGTGCCAACCTCTCCCCCAGCTTTTTGGCTTTGTTGTTATTATTGCTGTTCTTTGTTTGTTTAAAGATTTTATTTTTAAGTAATCTCTACCCCCAACGTGGGGCTCGAACTCACAACTCTGAGCTAAAGAGTTGCCTGCTCTGCCTCCTGAGCCAGCCAGGTGCCCCGTTTTTGTTTTTATTCTGTCTCTTGGAGCCCGACCAGGTCCACACAGCTGTGAGGAGTGCAAGAGCATATGCACACACGCACACACGCGCACACGTACACACGTGCACCGACTCCTTCCCTTCTCAGGTTCTTTGCCCCCGAGTAGGCTCCCCTCACCTCCTGCCCTAACCAGGTGGGGACACTGCTGCTAGTCTCTTAATTAGCAAATCCACAGGCTCCTCTCAGTATTTCTTCTCTGCGACCTCTGCGACCTCTGCGTTTGGCAGAAGTTCCACCCCTCCTCCTTGAAACAGTCTCCTTTCTTGATTTCCATGACATTGCACCTTCCCACTGCCCCTCCTCCATCCCTGAACTTCCTTTGCTGGCCTCCTACCAGCTCCTCTGCCTTCTCCCATCCCCTAAGTGTGACAGGGCCCCACGGATTCAGCCCTCCCACCCTTCTGCATTTTCATAGGCTCTATCAATTGCAACTTGACCCGTAATCGGTCTGGAAATAGATGCCCAATTTCTAACCCCCAAATTCCACCTACCAAATGACCAGCTTGAATTTCCACCTGCCTGCGTCAATTGGTATGTCGAATTCACCACGTGCAAAACTGAACACATCCATTTCTTTCACAAACATTCGGCAAGCACTGAGTATGCCCAGACTCTGTGCCAGGCACTGAGGACA